AGTCAACTAAAGGGCTAATGATAGCCATTAAAACGCCTGCAATTTGATATAAATTAATAAGTCAATTCCAAAGAAATGTGCCTGAAATTGAAAGCCAAATCATTCACGCCTCGGAAACCATCATTTTTATAAATCTCTCTCTCTTTAGTCAAAAACTGAGTTTTATTGCTACGCTTCGAATTTTTATCACGTGTCGCCGATGAAAACTCTAGGTAAATAGGCTAGTACTATGCAAAGATGATCGTTTTCGGTTTTGAAAAAAACTCGGATTGGTCAATTTTAATCCCCTTGGAAATAATTGGTTGAAAATAAACAAATTTTATGTTTCGCATAATGAATTTATGAAATAAGAGGAATTTATTAAGTCGAAATATTTTTCCACAATATCAGATAGCATCTTTTAGATAAAGTTTTCCAAATTCTACAGTTAAAGAAATACGAGCTTATTTAAATCGATTTCGCCACGATGCGTTCAAAAGGTTAATAGAGTGATCAGAATAAATACAAAATAATTAAAATAATTTGGAATTTGTGAAAATTGTGGTGTCAAAGTTTTGAAAATATCGCGCAAAATTTGTTGTGTGAAGAAATTGCTGGTCAAAATCACCCCATTTACTGTGAATTCTAATGACATCTTTTAAGTCGACAAATTGTATAATTCAACTCTCAAAGTATTCTCCTGAAGTGTTTTTCAATTAAAGGCCTGAGAAAAATTGAATGGCTGAAATATTATTAATAGGTTATGGTGTTGATATACCGAAACTGTAAAACCAATAATGGAGTAACGAAAAATACCTAACCTTCGATATTTTTAACTTGAAATTAACTTTAAATAAAATTTTAAATGCTCTAAAATGTGATAAAATGTTTCATTTTCCCCTTTACTAACATGCAGAAAATTAGGTGCGAAGGTACTCAAACTTGAGTGCTTTGAACTAGGTTTACTAACTTGTTATCCAATCATGTGTCTTTGTCTCATTAAATCGGTATGTGAAAGTTAGATGGTGATATGCTTTCTTAACATAGAATCTATGTGAATTTTTACAACCTTTCATTTGTAGCCACCTGAAAACAAAATGTCTCTTTTGTCAGTATGAGAAATAATTAATCACCACCAAAAATATATACTATTTTTGCGTACATTTTTAAGCACAGCGCCTCAAAATTACAATAACGACTTTATATATATTGCCTTTCAATACAAATACAAATGATTCGGCTTGATGTGGGCACTTTAATGAAGAATTCATTTATATAAATATATTTAAATATCTAAATTAAATTATATTTTATTTGAGGGGTGTGCGATAGACTTACCTCCAGTTGGTGCACCCTGGGCAACGTATATTCGTACGACAAAAAGTCTAATAACTGGCAGTTAACTTCTGACTTCCAACTACCATGGCCCCATTGTGTCATATTCAACTACTTCACATTACTCACCTCACCTTTTTCTACCTTTGTGTCTGTCTCTTTTACATCTTTAAAGCGTTCTGCTATTTCCCCCCCCCCCTCCCTCTCGACTTTTTGTTCACTTTGATGTTCCTTCTCCTCTCTGTGAAGCCTGAAGTCGACTAAAAGGCTAATGATAACCACCAAAACGCCCGCCATTCGATTTAAATATATTTTATTTGAAAACAATTCATACTCTTTCCCCTTTTTTTCTTACAATTAAACAGATTTTATTGACTGCTAATAAATTTTTTGCCAAAGATTTTCAACTAGCTCTTATCCCTTTTTTTCCAATTAACTAATGAAATTTAAGTGACAGTTTCAGTACAAGTGAACTCAGGCGCACTATCGGTCCTCATGTTACGCGTATTAATTTGATGACAAGATGAGGACTTAGGTGTAAGCTTTGAGCGTGATCAGGCGCAATAACAACGAAGCCCTCTGTGGGCTCGCACTTCATTAATTGGTTTTGCATTGGAATTTGGGTGAATAGTAAATAACCTGAGTTCGCTTATTAGTCTTGATTTTGGGACAGGTGTGCAGAAATCTAACAGCCTATTTAGTCGTTAATGTACTTATAACTAAATGCTATTCATCTATCATCTGGTCTCAAGGTATAATTTCATGGAAGTAAATCAATGCAATAACAATTCACTAATTGAGAGATTCAACAAAAGTATGCTATAATGCTTAATAATTAGATGCTTTAACAAGATTTGGTTTAATTGATCAGATTCTAGAACACAGTTAGCGTAAATTATATTATTATCTAATTATCTGCAAGATAAAGTAACCCATTCCAACCCACTCAAATCTCTCACACAAGATTATCACATCTTATCTTTAGGTCTTCTGAATTTTGAAAGATACAAAATTCGGTTCCTCGTTGAGGGGAATTTTAAAAAAGCGGAATAAACTTCAGGCATGGAGGTAATACTACTGACACCGGTCAGCCACCGGTAAAAAGATGTCTCAAAAGATCAAGTTTAATTTGAAATAACTCGTACTCAATGCATACACTGGATTTCATTCTATAAAATTGTGCATTTATCGAACTTATACTTTTAATAATTTAAACTACAATTTGTTCTGCACATTAGCAATTAATATATTTAGATAAAAACACGGTGCGATTTCTTAGTTCCAAACAAGATTTAACATATTTGGCAAATAATACTGTAGGTTTTCGTGGTGAATAGAGCTATTAATATATTCGAATTTAACTTATTAAAATCCCCAAGGAAAAAAATTATTTTAATAGAAATTAACTTAAGCATACCTTTTTAGTCATTCCAAGCACTAAAAGAAATACGATTATTTGTGCTTTAACAAGAAATCATCCAAGTTTTATGAATGTCATTACGTATCATACTGATACCTGTAATTGAATTACGAACTAATCAGCATTAATTTCTGTTATGGAATTTCGCATTTGGAACTAAAATGAAAATGAAGCAGAAATCAGGCCCTTAAAAAGCAATGATCAAATCCATTTGATCTGCGGTCTTCATTTTATGATTAAGAGAGTCAATTCAAATTCACATCTGCATCATCTAACTTGGCTCAATTAGTGGGCTTCCTCTTAAAGTCAGAAAGACAAAATTAACGGTTTGTAAAGCCATCTTTATTTAATTCTCACAACAAAAAACTAGACATTTTTTAAGTGACTTTCAGGGAAGAAATAAATCAGGAACGTTATTATTTATACCAAGGAATGAAAGATTCATTCGAGAAACGATAAAAATAAGCATAATTAATTTTAAGATAGTTCCATAAGTGGTAAAGTACAATTTCCTTCTTGTTTTGAATTCTTTACAGAAACAATCGAAAAGTCCTGTTTCTTTGCTTCATAAAAGCGATTGTTACGTTCGATTTCAGTAGAATTACAGCCCTCTCACTCATATGTTGAGCATAGGTTATTTTGAGAAGTGAGTGGAAAGGAGTTTATCTGATTAAAATCGATTATCCACGCTTCGATAATTTGTAAATAAAATCAATATGATATAATGAGATATATTTACATTCACTGACGTCGAGCTAACCTTTAATTAGAGATGAGCAAAAGTTTATTAGAATGCGCATTGTACGCATTGTTCACAGTAGGGTGATTGATAATGCTTATAGTATGAAACTAGTGATGAAATTAGAAAATATGGGTGAAAGCTTTATTCAAGAACACATCGCAGAAATGCTTCATTTCAGGAAATAAATGAGAAAATGGCAACAAATCAGGCGCTTTCATACTTAACATAACATTTTCAGCATTTTGTCTGAAGAACAATTAGCTTATCTTGCCAACTTCAAATTACTTGATTCTTTAAAAAGCAAAATTCTTTAAATCATTCTAGAGCATTAGTCTTGAATGTGTCCTTACGACGAAATTAATATCGTAATTTGCCATCACAACTGCCGAAAGCAATGTATTTAACTTGACTATGATTAGATCAATTAGGATCATTCAAAATTTGAGTTTGAAGTCACTATTTGGAGTGATATGTGCTCGGAATAATTGATGGTGAATTTATTTCAACTTAAAATTTCTTCCTTTTATCGACGAGATACCGACTTTGATAAGAATATTTTTGATTTATTTGATACAAATCTTTATTGACCAAAGGAATTAGTTCTTAATCTATTATCATTTGACACTTGTTGTCCACTTTGTAGATGAAAAAATAGTGGTAATATTTTATAAATTACCTTTTGACTATCAATTAATCCATTCGCAAGTTTTCTCATTTATAAATAAATTCCAATTTGCTGACATAGCCATATTGAATTTCCCAAAAAGAGTAACAAGCTGGCGTGAATAAATTAAGCTAAATGAAGACTTGCAATTAAGGGCAACCATCGGTTCCGTAATAATAATTAAACTTCATTGAAACGTACAGAATTGAGTGAATTTCATTACATAGGAACATTTTTTTATAAAATTAATCAATCAACACTTTCTGTCACTCCGACATTCGACAAGACAGTACATTGTTTTGAAAAATTTCTGCTGAATTTCCAAAAAGTCTGTTACAATATCCTCCCTTTGAATTCAATAAAACAACTCACTGATAGTTATATAAACATATATAATTGTTAAACCGGATTGTAAAAACGGGGTACACAAATCAGTGGAGGAATTCCAATTACATATTCGAATGTTCCATGATTCCTTTATTAACGGATAGGTTGAGTACTGACGTGGAAGAAGGATTGAATGATCTAGGCTTTCGTTTTTCCTTCATTCTGCGATTTTGAAACCATGTTCGGATCTGAAGAAGGCACAGAAGAAGAAGGTTAGAGAAAGAAATGAAAGTCGACATGAGCTTTCCAGAAAATTGATAACTTACTCTGTCTTCGGAGAGGTTAAGTCTCTGAGCTAATAGTTCTCGATCATGTGTGGAAAGATAGGTTTGCTGCTTATAAAAACCTTCTAAAGCACGCAAGTGATGGGGCTGGAAGTAGGCCCGTGCCTTTCGATATCGCTTGGTGCGATTATTCTGATCTTTTCCAACTTCAGGTGAATCGGATCCATTTTGAGATGCATCGATTGATGAGGCGGGTGTCAGTCTGGCTCCATGGGATGAGGAAACAGCACCAATAGCGCCAGAGGAATTGGAAGAGGGGATGGAATTGGTTGTAGAGGGAGAATTTGGTGGTGAGCAGGAGGAGGATTCTTTGAAAGTGCCTTCGTCTAATTCCGTTAAGTCATCTAATCTGGGAGAGTCATTGTTGACGGAGGAGGGATATGAAGAGTTTTCTCCTACGTGGACTTCACGTTTTGTGGCAAATATCCTCCAGGAACTAACCAATCCTTCAAGGAGTTTAACATATTCTATAATGTGCATGAAAAAGGTTGTAAGATAAATTAAAAGTTTCAGTAGAAACAACCTTTTAAAATTTAAGAACATCCCGAACCTCGAGGTCGGCTATGTCCCCAGTTAGGAGAGAGTAATTCCTTGGGTGATGGAATAGTGGGAACCATACAGGGAGCATATTTGTCTGGTAGAAGAAGAGTAGATATTGGTTTCACCGCACAACTTAAAGCATTGCGGTGATTACCTAGTAGAATAGAAAGTGAGCATAAAGCATCTCTATCTGCGCTGCCTAGCATTGTATCAAAGAGCGCTATGTGTGTGTGTGCGTCTGAAGTCACTTGCTTCTGTTCAGTTTGTTATAAATGGGTGACATTGCTTCGCCTCAATTCTGATTGGTTACCCAAACACAAAGCTGCTGAATGAGTAAAAATGTGGGTTGAGATAACTGAAAAGACTGCTTCTTGAGTACGATTGTACTTGCAATGCACATGCATGCTTTCAAGTAATGATGCGAAGGTATTGTGCATAATATCACTCTTACTCGATCATCCAATTATGTAATATCTTTCACATCTCTCCTGTCACTTAATTAATCAAAAAGAGTGCTCATGTACCAACACAAAAAATAGGTACTGGTGACCCTGTGAACAGTTGGCACAGAATTGAGAGAATTTTTTGAAAAAATAAGCTGGCCTTACATTCTATCACAATTTGACCAAAGCTATCAAAGTGTTGAGTTCTGCTTACCGCAAGCTGCGATATGGGTACGCTAAGGGCACAATAAAATAGAGGTCATTGTTGATGATCCCATCAAGAGGTTTGTCGAGGTGAAATCATCGCACGATTTTTAAAGGCTTCTCTTATTCTTCTTCTTCTTCTTCTTCTAGAACCAGAATTAACAAAACCAAATTTTTACCCCACTTTCTGAATCACTTGATGTGCCAGTGGAGTTAGACTGTCTGAAAATCTTTCTGCGTTTATAGTGCTTGTGAAAACAGTTGTAATTTCTTCACGCCATGATAAAATTAAGAGAATTTTTATAGCCTCTAGAAAAATACTGGATAAACACGCAGAAAAGAGAGTTTAATCACCTAATAATGACTGTTCTTCTTAGAAATTAGATGATCATTCAATTGTTTTTTAACGTTTCTGGTCCATTTAACTGATATTTCCATTATTTACAATCATTATTCTTATTATTTCATCTAATTCACATATATATTTGTCTAACATTAAAATTATTTTAATTGTGAGTTCATTTTTCTGTTGTGGACTTCTCGCCCCGGTCATAATGTGTTCATATTATCTCATTTTTATTTGAAAACCTATTTGTTTTAAATTGAGCTTGTAACCTGCTAACAACAAGGAAACTTCTCACTAGTAACCGCAATCTGCATCCAAATGAGTCAAGTTGTACCAAAGATTACTTTTTTCACAATCACTAAGCTTATCAATCACCTGTCTAGATGTGTTATGACCATCAATCAATCAATCATTTAACCATTTTAATACCTTTGCACTCACTTTGTTCAGCTTCGTTCGGTCAACCCCAGCCTGTTCACTTGAGCACCTACAAATCCATCCCCTGAATAAACAGACTATTAACATGGACATGGCTCTGAATTTTTAAATATTGGTAACATCGATTTTTTCCTTACTATTAACTGGATACCAAGTGAAATATTCTTTATTATTCATTTCAGAACTCTAAAGTAAGAATCTTACCTTAACTAGAAGATTACAGAAGTCGCTATCTACTGGATTAGTCTTTGAATAGCTATTTCATTTGTTGCCTTAATCTCATAATTATATATAATTTCCTATTTTAGATTAGAGGGTCATTTGGTCAGATTTAGTGTTAGCTGTCTAATTGATACCGGACGGAGTTAACCGTTCATTTAATCAATTTAATTCCCCCCCCCCCAAATTCTGACCGACTCCGGGTAAATTTTAAATTGGCTTCTCGATACTTGTAAGCCCTGTAACTATAAATTAATCCCACCTCCTATTGCCAGTACCTGAATAGTCTTGTTTTATAGTCGCTGGTCATATGAACAACTCATACTACTCCGAAAACGGGTTTTCAGTTTACACCTCTGTCAATCGCACAAAGCCATCAGTTTCACAGTATCACAGTCAGTCACCACTCGGCAAAATTTGCTTAGCTCCATGTAACATTGGTGATGCTGTCATTCTTACTTCCACATTCAATTCGAATTCTACAAACTCAATAATAGCATGGATTTAAGCAGTCCTGTATAATTACTCGAAATTCTACCATGAAACGGCTCGCAATTTTCGTGAATCCTAACAAGTGCTCTTTTAAAATTACCGCTCAAATTTTCATTTGAAGATCAGCATTCAAATCTATCCAACATTTTCCTTTACAAAATTAGGGAAACAAATGAAAAAAAAACGCGAAGCTTTATTTAGTGAGGTGGCTTAGAAGAAATAGTTTTTGTCCTTGATTGAATACTTTTTTATGGCCCAAAAATTATATATAATTAAATATTTAGGGAATTGGACGTCTATTGGGTCAATTCGGGATTAGCCAATTAATTGATTGAGTTAATTGCATGTTTTATGATTTACCACCCCCCACCTCGGTCATGGAAAACATTGTTTGTTTTTTAGTTATATAATTGAAAGGCTGTTGGAACTTTGCAATAATTACAAACTTGCGTTAATCGCCAGAAAAAATAACCATGTAATCAGGAAATTAATTCAAACAACTGCATTAAAAGTAGTCATTGCTGGTAAAGATGGAGTTGAAATTGAGACAGAATAGATGTCGTTGGTCAGTATCATAAAACGTGACTACCAATCTCAATAGGTTTAGATATCAGAAGTCATAATAATGAATAGTTTTAACCAATCTGAACTTTCGGGCATTGAAATTTTTAGTGGTGGCACGGTGACATACACAAGCCTCGACTAAACTTTGGCTAGCTCTATTGCGAAATCCCCATAGTTAATAATTTTTAGGAAAAAGATTACATAATGTGGAATGCGTTTCCTCGTGAGTATGAAATGATTTCACTGGCACAGAGCCAAGTCATTAAATACGATTCTGGTTACACTGATTCTGAAATGACCATTGAATATTGATTGACTAAGAGGACTCAGCACTTGTAACCTTATTTGTTTCCCAATGTGATTACCAGCAGAATGTTCGACCCATCATGAGAGTCCTTAATAAATCAACCATGTCAATAATCACTTTGTCATCAACACTATGCTTATTTGGAGAACTTTAAACACATGGGAAACTTTCTAGTTAATAAATAGGAAAAGGCTATTTGTAATAGTGCAATCGAGGTAATCTACGAATATCTCCAGAATTGCAACAACATGCCATATGGGCTTTTAAATTGAATTCATCTGCTTCGCATCGACTTAGCAATGGAAGTACTATTAGGCAACAATTAAATTCTAGAAATCTAGCTCTGATGTAGACCATTTCATAATCGGAAAAAAGTGATATAATTATCTTGTTTAAAACCACTCGTTACTACCACGAGAAAAGCTAGTTGTAGCCACAATTTTAGCACTCTGAGCCATTTGAAAAGATAGTTGGAGCGTTACTCAAGTTACATAAAATGGAAATAAGGCATAAATTAAAAAAAGTTCAATTAAATCAAGGTACGTGTCAATGGAAGAAATAGCGAATGGACGGGCAACATTGACAATGAATACTGAATATCGAAGACAAATATCACTCGACAGGTAATGAAACTTGCAAGTTGCAATGTTAGTTAACAATTTAGTACATATCATCCAACTCATATACGAAAAACACTTAACGTTGACATTAGTGATGTTTTGATCCTCCATCATTCGGTGTTTGTTTAACTTAGTTTCAAAAAATCCGTTTTTGATTCACCCAACTAAAAGTGATGAAATAATTTGCTTAAACTTTCCATCTATGCATAATTACAGTAGGATTAATAGTACACTATGTGATCAATGAAGTGTACAAGCATTGACTAATTTTTGAGTCTCCATGCACTCATCAAATTGCCATATATATTTACAATCTTCTCATTAATTGTTAAATCAAGCAACTCACGTTTAATTTTTTACTTCTTTCATCTATATTAATTTCAAATTTCAGAGGAAATATCGATTCATGTTACTTAGAACTGAAATTGAAATTAAATGGTAATATTGAACTCCAAAGAGACACAGAATCCTCTTCACTTCTACGCGCAAGGTGGATATTCCCGAGGCAGAAAACACTTTAAAATCACCATTAAGCACTCTTGTTGCTTATTGTGCAATATCTTTGAGCTATTCGACCCCATGTGAAAGGGTTTTATATCTTTTCCTTCATTTGCGTAGCAATTCTGCATGTATTTTTTTCGTGCTTTCATCTCGAGTCAAGAGCTTTTTACTTAATTAGTTCGACAGAGATTAATGTTCTTCTTCTTTCATTGGTTCGGTTAAGAGAAAACTCTCAAAACGAGCATGCTAAGCGAGCTATATTTAAGTAGTATATGGAGCCTGAAGTGAGTCTAAATTCCAAGTATTTATTTATTTATTTTAAATGGCAGGCGTTTTGTTAGCTATCATAAGCCATTTAGTTGACTTTGGGCTTTTCAGAGGGAAGAAACATCAAATTTTCAAAATGGGAACAGAAGAGTGATTCGTAGATGTAAAGGAGACAGACAGACACAAAGGCGGAGAAAAGGTATGATCGATACTGTGGAAGAGGTTGAATATGACATATAGTTGAGTCATGAAAGTTTGAAGTCAGAAGTCGGCTTTCGGTTTATAGACTTTTTGTCGTATGAGTATGCGTTGCCCAGGGAGCACCACGTGGAGATAAGTCTATAGCACACCCCAACCCCAATACAAAATATCAACACTGAAATGGATAAATAATCAAAGTGAGTGGTGTTGATAAAATACTGCTAAACTATTAGAGGAAATTGATTGTCGCTTCATCTCCAATTTGTTTCCAAATCTTCCTGGGATCAACTTCTTACAGCGGATGCAGGTGAATACATATATACTAAAGGGTAATCACTCAATATGCTGTGTATACTGTTTTTCTTTATGGAAAAATGAACTTTTAATTTAAAAAACTCATTTGGCTGTCAGTAGTTATGTCTCGTTGTGTTTGAGGAAGGTTAGTTTAATGAAAACAATAAATATATATTTAAGGGAATTCTTGATTGATTATTACTAGGCGAAGAAAATCATTGTGGTGAAAGTAAGTTAAAAAAGCAAACTTTTGAAAGAACTACGAAATGTCTCCCCTGTTGAAAGTTTTGATATTGACTCAAACGCAGAA